CTGCAAGCTGAATCGCTGAATCTCAAGTCATTCTGCCAAGGCTCCAAGAGTATCGGTTTGGTTTAGGACGTCTAGACGCGTCTAGGCATGGTTCAATCATTTTCAAACTGCTTGCGAATCAAAGCAATTCCGGCGCGGCTTCTGAACAGCACTTGGAATTCGGAGCCCGGAGCGGCTTATCAGAAAAGGAAAGCTGTTCAACGATGCATCACAAACAAAAATGTTGTAGAATCAGAATGTTCACATGTTGGTGCTGTTTCCTTTTTTACATATTGTTTTTCGGACCTCTCTCTCTGTCCCTCGCCCTCTGCCTCTGCCACTGGGACTATGGGGCACTGATTCTTTTTTCTGGCATATGTAGACAACATTAAACAGCTACAGCCTCGCCTTTGGAATCCGGTTTTGGTTTTCCATGGTTTTCCCCCGCCACCCAGGCCAAGGCCTCTAGATGTTAAAAAACGGAGTGCGTCCGACATGCAAAAACCCAACCAGACAAATTGACACGATGAAAATGTATCTATATATATAACTGTACATATCCATGTACATGTACATATACATATACATATACATATATATATACACATCATTTTATATAATAATCAAAAATATACATATGATCACAGGAGGCGTTGACAATAAAAGACAACAGCGATATACTATGTGTCCCCCCAGCTGCAGCTTAAATGCGCCCAGGGGCGGACTATAGAAATATATGCAGGTACAGGAGTGTGCGTCCACACCGCCTTCCGGCTGAATCCCATAGCTCTGTTGGAATGGCTAAGGGAACAGCTGCCATGCCCCCTGCATAATAAGAAGGAGGTGTTACATCTATTCAGATGGTTCACACACACACTGTTGAGAGCAGATTCTACTCTGATGTCGAACTGTATGATGTCTATATAATAGTAGTTGCCTGTGTGGTACCTAGGAATCCGCCTGGACAGTAAGTCTGAAACGAAGTACATTTTAGCGAAAAGATTTACAGACCTGATCAATCACCCGAAACTGCCTGGTGAGAACACAGCTAGCGGGTTTCACACACAAGCCCCTAGAGAGGGGCGACGTGGTTACATCAACTAAAAATGAGCTGCCTAGTCTGTGTTTTCACACAGCGTCAAAACATCAAATCTTCGGATAATATGCTTTCAGCTGTACAATCATGTGACCACAAAACAAGGAAAAATGAAAGCTCGCATATAGGGGCATCAAAATTCAGTTGTTGCAGATTCTAGCTGGTCATAGGGAACGGATTGCTGGGGTTCCATGCCAGTGTTCCCATGAGGTGGAAAGCCAGGGAGTCGAGCTGTCTCCGATACGTTCCCGACCATCTTCAGACGTCATAAGGCCCCCGGGCGCTGAGTTAACCCGAGGTTCGAAACCAGAGATTCGAGCTGTCGATCCGATATGTTCGTGACCATCTTCGTACGTCATAGGGCCCCCGACCGTTGAGCTAACAAGATGTTCAAAACCAGAGATTCGAGCTATTGACCCCTGCTGAGCTTAACATTCATTAATTCTTTCCCGCATGACACACACACACGTGCCCCTAGGAAGGGTAGTTACATCAACTGAAATAAGTGGCTTAGTCTGTCTTTTCCACACCGCATCGAAACATCAATTCTTTGGATAGGCCTTCAGCTGTACAATCGTTTGGCCACGACAAGAAGAAGTATAGTAACTTCATATAGTGACATCAAAGTTGGCAACAAGTTTCTGGAAAGAGTAAGAAAGTCAAAGGTGAGATGCTCAACTTTGTCAAACAAACTTATTCAAACAATCGTGCTAAAAGCTGAGGTGGTAGGGACATTTAAATCATTGTATGGAAATTGGAATCATGCACGTTGCTCTCAATTCGGAGGAAATGTCGCAGTTAAACGGAATGAGAGAGTTCAAGCGATTGAACTGGATTTGAAATGCAATTGTTGCAGATTTCAATTTAGCTGGCCATAAGGAGAGAATTGCTGAGGCACCCTGCCATGAACACTGACCAAGGCGCTTGATCCAGTTGAAAGTTCTGTGGATCTGATAGGTTCGCAACCAGCTTCGGAGTAACAAGGCCCCCGGCCGTTGAGTTCACATGAACAAGGAAATAAAGCCGACAGAATGCAAGTCATGAACTGACATTGTATGCGTTTGAGCAAACTGGTTTGGAGACGTCGAAGCTGGGATGATGTGATCGTACTAATTTGTGATTTGTTCATAAAATCCAAACTTCAAGCTGTTTCTGTCTGGTTGAATGAGCTATTTGCAGTGAAGGAGGCTTGGTCAGGATCAGTCGCATCCGAGCTAAGGTTCCGGACGTTATAGCCTTTGATGTACTTGTGCTCTGTAGTTGAACATACGTAACAGTTTTCTATCGTACATCGACGGCGACATTGTATCCCAACAGTTCTGACCCGTGGGCTGGTTTCAAAAGGATGGGTGGGGCTAGAAAGCGAGTTTTCAAAACATTCTGCAAACTAATCATGTTCAGAATTCCAATGCTGTGCAGGCAAAAGTATAACTCTGTTGTCAACGTATCGATGGTAAAAAAAATCTCAGTTGCCCGAAATTGACGAAAACAGGAAAGACAAGTTTGTTCATGCATTAATGCCACAAACGCAGAAAATCGGAGCCTATTGGCTTCCCATACTTGCTCCACAGCTTTGAGAATAGGTGGTCGGTGTCAGTCAAAAAACTGTGATCATGCCGCTCATGCCACCAAAAAGAAAAATTCAAGGATTGAAGGATAAGTCGTGGACACGGCAAAATCGTAAGCTGATAAAGTGCATGTCACAGAACGAATCGCTGCTATTTGCACTGAAGGAAGCCAAACATTTGTCAGGATTAGCCGAATCGACCTAAGGTTCCGGGCATGATTGCCTTTGATGTACTTGTACTCTGTGATGATAGAAATCTTTTCAGCAGGTTGAACGTAGGGAACTTGGACTGCTTCCAAAGGGATGGGTGAGTTTCCAAAACAACTCAAGTCCAGGATTCCAACACTGTGCAGACAAAAGTATCACTCTGCTGTCAACATTTATCCACGCCTCGATGATGAAAATCTGCTTTGCTCGAAATTGGAGAAAACAAGGAAAAATGTTGAATAAATTCAACCGGGATCAGTCTAGGTCAACAGTTTCGACTAAGGCCCAGACTTCCAAAAGCAGCAAAATGGAAATACCAGTACTTCCAAAGCTTTGATATCAATCCTTTCTGATTCATCCCATGTATTGATAGAGGTACCACCATTTAGCCTTTCTAGTTTTAAACGATTGTACGCAAATAACGCGGTTGTTGGCAGTGTCCAGAGTCCAATCTGTAAAAGAGAATCAGGAGATTGTGCGTGATCAACCATAAAGATCCATAAAGCAGTTTACAGCAAATTCAATTACGTCATAAGGCCCCCGGCCGTTGAGTTAGCATTGGATTCGAAAACAGAGATTCGAGCTGCCGATCCGGTACGTTCGTGACCATCTTCAGACGTCATAAGGCCCCCGGCCGTGATCGTAAGTCACGACGATGAGAACTCATGTTCTACCTCCTATCTAAATTGCAAACTTGATCCACTTCATATTGGAAAGCGAACGTTTGTCATAAGGAAAGTTGGTCAAAAAAGGAACATTGGTCAAAAAGAACAGTACAAGTCAAAACGAAGTGCTGATCACTTTGAAAAGCAAGCAAAGTCTTAGAGAACTAGGATCCGAAACTTAACACTTCATGAAATTCTAGGCGCTTGATGTAATACATGAAACGGTGAACAGTGACCTGACCGACCTGGCCTTTTTACACGCGATAAAAATTGAAAATCACATGATCAAACGCAAAGTACTAAATGACCCTGACTGACTTGCAAGAACGTAAATTTGCACACATCGTCACGAAATGGCAATGCAACGAGAAGCACATGAAATGGTGTCGTTTTTGGCTCTGAATTAAGGGTTGGTCGCATTGTTTGTGAAACGCTTGTCTGTCGTCTTTGAACCGAAAACTCTACGTAGAGGGTATTAGGCACGCCAGATGTGACACTTGGCTTAAGCGTGATCGTAATCCCCATATGTTGCCTCGTCCATGACCACTGTCAAACTAGTGAGTGCAGGCATGTTCTCTGATAACACCTCCAGCAACGTTAGCAATATGTTGTTGTTTTGAATATGACATACCAACCAGGCATATTTCTGGGCCTTTCTTAACGCTGAGATCAGAGTCGGTTTTGTCACTGCGGGTCGGGCAACTGTGACTCCACGGCAGAAAAATGTCAAAGCTGGTATCCAAGTTTCATCGTGGGGATCTGTTGATAAAGGATGAATATAACCTTAATAGAACCATGAAAAAGACTTGCTGCCGCGGACCAAACAAACGTTCGTATTGTGAGCAGACATATATATTCAGCAATAGGTATCACAGGTTCTTGAATAAAATTCGACCGGAAACAGTCGAGTGGCAATTGCCACCAATTGTTGCTGGTTGTCATTGATCACCAAGTCGACGGTTTCGACTAAGGCCCAGACTTCTGAATGCGGAAAGAATGTAGGTATCAGTACTTCCAAAGCTTGAAAAATAACGGTCGAACATGTCGTGAGAACTTGATGAAGATCTTTGACTGTTGTAATGAGGCAACTGAATCGACAGGACGAAAGCAGGGATGTTTCCAAAAATGTTTGAGAAGGCTTCCATTTGTCTGCAGATTTCCAAAGCACCAATCCCGTAGGCATTCTGAATGCGAGAAGGATCTCGATATAAATCTTGTCTAATTCGTCCCATGCATAGATAAATATACCACCACTCGCTCTTTTCAGGATGATCTAGTTTCAAACAATTGCGCTCGAAAGACGCCGTCGTTGGCAGTGTCCAGTCGAATCTGGTTGCTTTGGGGGTGCAAAAATTCAACAACTTCGACGATCCTTCGACGATCCATGGAGAACGTCCAGTCTAATTAGTCACAAGTTTTGGTGGATTTCCTGGGGATTTTCGTTCGCTAGTAAAGACCAAAGACTGTCCCTGATGATCGGTCAAAC